AGCTCTATCAGTTATTGTTAATGTTCTGGTTATTTTGTTTCAGTGTAGTTTGCTAATTATGTGCAAAGCATACAGTAAAAGTAAACTTCATCATTCAGCTGAACTGTGCACATTCATTTTAGACACTTCATGTCTTCTTCAATTCATGCGATAAACGCATGTCCCTGCTGAGCTGTGGGCTATGACTAATTTTACGGGCAAAGCAGACAAAATTGAGTCACTCTATAATTAGGGGTACATGTCATGTCCATTGACTATTATCAATTTTACAAATTTTTCATTAACTTTTCACTTCAAGCAATGATCACTTTTATATCAGGGGACATTTCTAATTAATTTAATACAAAAATCCAACAGATATCCATCTTTTATTTAGCAAAAAATGGCATATTCTATACTGGAATTTGCTGTTTTTGTGCTGTCCGATTTGGTAAATGTGTGGTTTTGCTCTTCAGATTAGCTCTAAAATACATGTTTCTGTATATATTTCTTATAAATATTTGTCCAAAATAATCATTAAATTATGAGAAAGGTGTTTTAAAAAAATATTTAGCTCATGCATCTACATTAAATCATCCATTTTGTGTATGTCCGAGAAATCGGTGTCAACTGTGTTACTCCCCATAAAACCCCCTATAAATCAGCAATGGTTTGTTCCAAAGTCACATGTCCAACATCACCTGATGTATTTTCCTTTTTTGGAGGGAAATATGAAGACAGTGTGGTAAGTCATAACTTCTCCTCTTCAATATTTTATCTATATTATTGTCTGCACATAGAGTAGATTAATTGACCGTCAACTGTGTTATCAACATATTCTGGTGAGCTTGTGTCACGTGTTATATTTATAAATATGTAGAGAAAGAATATAAAAACATAAGTTAATCAAGGTCATGTACTAACCAGTCCAAGGTCAGCAGTTTGCACAAGGCCCTAAAATGGCCGAAATGTCAACCATGTTACCTGTCAACTGTGTTACCCATCAACTGTAACACAGTTTACAAGGATTAACACAGTTGACAACGTTGGCAATTCAGTGCCAATTTATGATCCCACTGAGTGTTGGTGATAAAAAAAATATTCACAAACTATTGTCATTACACAGAAATAGGAATTGCCTAAAACCATGATTTGCATTACAATGGATAAACTTAACTGATCTAATCACGGCCACACTTTGCTATGTTTGCACGACAACGATGTAGTCAAAAACTGAAAAGTTTTTCCCTTGCGTTTTTAAAAAGTTTCACCTATACACAACAACGTTTTCAAAACGATTCGCGTTTACACATATCCGCGAAAACGGCCAAAAACGCTGTATTACGTATGCCAGGCCGGTAGTTGGCGCTGTCACCTTGTTAGTAAACAGTACCTGTTGCTGAGTGACGATTATATGTTGTATATGATGCGTCTCCGCTGTTGGTTGTAATATTGGTGAAGTAAATCCACACTTTGCTGAAGAAGCGTTAGCAAACTCTTGAGCAGCAACAACAGTACCATATACTCCGCCATTGTTGTGTATGTTTGTTCGCGCTTGCCTTTAAAATCGACACGTACTGCGCATGTCTACATACCTAACACGTACTACGCACGTGCATGACGTCCCCGTTTTCAAAGATTCCCGTTTTGGGTGTTTACATGGAAACGACAACGGTGGCGTTTTAAAAAAACTTGCACTTTGAAACCCGTTTTCAAAAATATGCGTTTTCAGTCCCCAAAACGCGGTGTCGTGTAAACGAGCAAGCAAAACGCATAAAAAGTTTCCCGTATTTGGCTGAAAACGTTGTCGTGTAAACGGCCCCTCAGTAACCATAATATTATGTACTCATTATACTCACATTTGTCAAGGGTTATAAAGTATTCAGAATTCCTCATGATTGACTTAAACCTATATAATATTATAGATTTGGCATATATCTATTTCTGCTTAGTCATGACTGATAAAGTGTTATGATGTTATTGTACAAGTCCTTACAACTTGAAGTGTCATAATGCATTATAAAACTTCATTTACCATTATAATAATGTAATATATTAATTAACGTTATAATATATATTATTGTAATGTGTGTGTTTAAAATGCTTTATGGATACTAAGTTCATACCTGTCAACTGTGTTACTCCTGTCTACTGTGTTACTTTGTCAACTGTGTTATGTGTGGTTTTTATGTTTTAAATCTTTTAAATGTGAACTAAACTGTCAGAAAAAAAGATGGGGATATCTCTGGAGATGGATGTTTTTGGTAAGGATGGTGAATAACACTAAATTCAGCATACTGTGTATTTATGTTGAAGAAAAGTTTCATCCTTCATGAAAGCATCCCACCGTAAGCCCATTATGAAGCCCCAAATTCATATTTTCAAATCAGACGGATAACCTCAAAAACTCTGGTGAATAGACTAAAAAACCTTCAAACAAATGTGTTATCAAACATGTGGTACTTTATTCATGTTTCATTTGACACAGCATTTGTCCGTAACACAGTTGACAAAATAATGATTCAAATGTTAATTTTCATTAACATCATTTAAAAAGTAATTCGAGCTTAAACTTGCCAAATAATTAGTTTAGCACATTAAGGGATTATATTATTCAACCACCTAGTTTATTTATCAAAAAAATAATACTGATTTCCTGACCTTTTTGGCTGACCTGAAATGTACCCCTAAATATAGAATTTACAATTTATGTATCGTAATTTTTTTATTACAAATAAAGTTTCATATTATGAGAAGGATACTTTCTACGACCTTTATCCTGCAGTCATGGTGAGATTAGGTTCCTTCAATCTAAAAAAACAAGAATCGAAAAAGAATCGAAAACAATTGTGAGGAATCGATTCTCGGAATCAAATCCCATCGATTCCAGAACCAGGAATCGGAAACGGACTCGATTCCAAAAATTTCGGAATCGAACAGCCCTACATCTAACTGACGAATCTTCAATTGGCTGGCTAAAAAGATTTGTTCAGAGGCATTTTTACAGATTACCCTGGTAGCTACAGGAGTGATTCTTTGAATTATTCACTCAACCGACTCACCGGTGAAATACACTGGCTCATCCAAGACTGAAACAAACATTAGCCTTTATATATTATTAGTTTAAAATTATTAGTATAGTGTTCGATTTTTTGCTAATCTGCCAAGAGACTCCAGAAAGAGTGCTTAAGTACAGTATTAAGTGTTTTCCCCAGGACGTTTTTCACACGCCATATCGGAATTCCCGTAATTACGAGATTCCAACTTGTAAAAAGCGTTTACGTCCTCGTAGAACTCGTAATTACAACGTGTGAACTGGGAGTTTTCTGAGAGCTACGAATTGTACCACGTGACCGCTGTACCACCTGACCACCGCAGGCTCTGTTTAGGCGTTGATAGTGTTGACATAGAAAAGCATAATTCCGAGTCCGAGGACGTGAACAAGCTCCGAGTAGAACGTCACGTGCTGTCATCTCGAAATGACGGTAATTACGATATGGCGTGAACGAAGACCTCACTGGGCCCCAGGGCTATGACTTACTGCAGGGACCCCCATCACAATAATTATATATATATATATATATATATATAGCTTTAAATATGATTTTTGTCCTATCAAAATTTCTGATGCACTGAAATTTCATAATTCTTGTTACCAGTTTCAATATTAAAAAAAAATACTAGCCTAACTAAAAACAAGCTTACTGAAGACAAGTAAACAGTCACAAATTACAATAGAACAAAGATACTTAAAACGCTGAATAAGAAATATTATATTGAATAAAGTAAATGTACAAATAGACTGAATAGTCTTCACTGTATACATTCAATATACATTAATTCTGATTTATTTTACAAAAGTGATTCAGTCAAGGACAGTGAGTGATTTTCTTTCTGATGTTTGATTTACATTATTGACACAAATGGCAACAGCAGCTATATTAGGCTGCTTTAGAGGAATAGTTCACCCAAAAATGAAAATTATGTTGTTGTTCTAAACCTGTATGAGTTTCCTTCTGCTGTTGAACGCAAAATAATATATTTAACCAAGCAGTTGCTAGGCCCCCATAGTATGAAAAAATACACTATTAGAGTCAATGGGGACCAGAAACTTTCTGGTTACAACATTCTTCAAAATGTCGTCTTTTATGTTGAGGAGAACAAAGAAATTAATACAGGTTTAGAACAACTTGAGGGTGAGTAAATGATGACAGTATTTTCATTTTTAGGTGAACTATCCCTTTAAGATCTCATCATATTTTATATGACTATGCAACCGATGGCCAGTCAATCTACTCCACAGCCAATCACGGACCCCCCTCCTTGCTCGGGCCCCGGGGCTTCAGCCCCGCCTAAGCCCTATTGTTAATGCGGCCCTGGTTTTCCCCAAAAAATGACAACAATCACATATATTTTTATATTTTACTATTTAGTTGACTGCTGGGAATGCCACGCTATAGGAAATTGAGTTTCAGCAGTCTGTGTGCAACTGAATTTATTTAATACACGAGTTTCACAATTTTAGTTGAATTACTGAAATAAATGAACTTTTCCACGACATTCTAATTTATTGAGATGCACCTGTATTATTATCAGTCATTTTTACACTTTCATAATTTTCTGAACCTTTTTCTCTCCTCTTGTGAACGAAATCTGAACACGAACAGAAGACACTCATTCAAAAAGATATGGCAGGAATTGTAATGTATGCTGTTTCGAAATTTTGCCAGTTTTTTAAGGCAGGAAAGCAGTGAAAGGGAGAAACTTAAGTAGGCTAAACGAACGATACAGTGTATGCAAATCAATGAGGACATGCATAAATCATATGACAATAACGTGGACTTTTTACATTTGAATATTGATGCCCCCGAAAAGCTTAAAAAGTTACTGAATTGAACTGAATAAGCAATCATCAATTTGAATTATTATTATTTCGACTCACCAGACCACATGGTGTCGCTGTTGATTTTAACTTGACCCACTTATGGTTCTATGATGGCTCTTGCTTCGAGCCATCGACCATAGAAGAACATGTCACGTGCTGTGTGAGTGTGTACGATAGTGTACGCCAGTTATAACCTTGAACGCTGATTCTTATATATATTCGTTGATGAGTTTTCAACCCTACAGCAAGAATGTTACAGATGAAAAATCGCTTGAAATATTGCTCTGTCGCAGTCGCTGCGAACAGACTGGTTTCAGGCCCGGTGAAGAACCCTGTTGTCTTTATGGATATTGCAGCTGACGGCGAGTTCATTGGAAGAATAATTATTGAGGCAAGTAATGATTTATTTAACCTGAATGCCACAGTTAGTTGTTATGCAATTTAAATGCATGAATCAGAGACTGTTACAATGAAAAAAGCGAGGAAAAATAAACTGTTGTTCTTCTTGCCGAGGTATACAATGACTAAAAATAGCTTGAATAATGCAGGTTTTCACCAGTAGTTTCTGTTGTAAATATGGCAATTTTTTAAGAAAAAGTGATATTTATTATTATTATTGACGATACTTGTAATATAATAATACTTTATTAACAACAACAACAACAATAATAATAATAACAACAACAATTATTTGTATTAATATTCATTATTCTAAAGACAGGTTTTTCATATTTTATTTGCAGCTTTATGCTGACGTCGTACCCAAAACAGCGGGTAAGTAAACATAGGTTTCATAAAAAATAATTAATTTAAAAAAATCATATATAATATAAATATAATGGTAACACTTTACAATAAGGTTCCATTAGTTAATGTTAGTTAATGTATTAACTAACATGAACGAACCATGAACAGTACATTACAGTATTTATTCAAATTTGTTAATGTTAGTTAATGAAAATACACTCATTCATTGTTAGTTCCTGTTAATTCACAGTGCATTAACTAATGTTAACAAGCACAACTTTTGATTTTAATAATGCATTAATAAATGTTGAAATTAACATTAACTAAGATTAATAAATGCTGTAGAAGTATTGTTCATTCTTAGTTCATGTTAACGAAAGTAGTTAACTAATGTTAACTAATGAACCTTATTGTAAAGTTTTACCAATACAATAATATTTATATTACTAATTTCATGACAAATGAAAATGTACAATAAAAATATACAATGTACAATGAATGTTATATATAGTATATAATATACAGTATTATGTACAATACATGATTTTAAAAAAATCAAAGTAAATTTCATAGTTTTATACAGTTCAGTTCTCATGGTTCTTGTCTTTCAGCAAATTTCCGGGCCCTTTGTACAGGAGAGCATGGCTTTGGATATAAGGGCTCAGCATTCTACAGGATCATCCCTCAGTTCATGTGTCAGGTAAACTATTAGTGCTACTGTTCACTGTGCCCTTTAGCATTACCATGTCTATTTATTACATCAAATGTCATGTTATCTCTTTAGTGTTTATTTATTGGTTATGAGTTATATGTTTTTGTCCTAATGTCATCTAATGATTTATGTTTTGCTGACAGGGTGGAGATTTCACTCATCATAATGGCACTGGTGGAAAATCTATTTATGGAAAGAAATTTAACGATGAGAATTTCAAGCTGAAACACACTGGACCAGGTGATGTCACTACTGTTACTGTACCATACTTACCATGAACTGTCACAAAAATAGAGAGTTAACCCCTTAGCATTCCTGTAAAATTTGCCTAAAACACCTAAAGATCATTCCCATGCATCTGCTTTTTTTATGTAATAAGCAGACATATTAAGCTTATTATAAGCAGCAGGATTTTTTGTTTGTTTGTTTGTTTTTTAAAGAAAAGGTTGTAAACATGGCAAAATGTGTAAGCAATAACAGAGCTGATGGTTTTGTAGTCACATTGGTAGCTGGCGACATAATCCAAAAATATTAAATAATGCAATGGAAACTTTGTCAGTGGAGGACAGTCCATTTCTGTGAAAATCCATAGTACCTTTCTGCATGTGACTAGACATTGTATCTACTCAGTTCCTCTGGGATCTGATTCAGCTCAACTTCATCATTACAAGCCTGTGAAAATTCAATTCACATTTATTTGTATAGCGCTTTTCATTATACAAATCGTTGCAAAGCAGCTTCACAGAAAATTAAAATGTCTACATTATATTTAGGAGTAGCTTATCAGTGGTGACTATGTCAAGGTGATGTCCATATGGCAGAAATGTACAGTAAAAATCATGCAGTTAGTTAATGACATGTATTGAAACAATCTGAGGGGTTGGCATCATCTCTTCTCAGGTGTTGTCATCTCAGATCTTTGTAAGGGTTGGATCCATACTGAAGCTTGTGTAATTCCTAGTTACCTCGGGATGCCCATCCCGTGGCAGAAACAGAGAAGCAAATAGAGAAAATTAGCGTAGCTGCTGTTCAAACCAAGCAAAAAATGATAATGTGTTCAAACCAAGCAAAGAATGATAATGTGCATTTGATCAGATATAACTGGAATACAAAGTTATGAGATAAATTATGTGAATGCTTGGCAAAAGAGATGCGTCTTTAATCTAGATTTAAACAGAGAGAGTGTGTCTGAACCCCGAACATTATCAGGAAGGCTATTCCAGAGTTTAGGAGCCAAATGCAAAAAAGCTCTACCTCTGTTAGTTAGGGTTGGGCCGATAGACGATGCCATCGTCCATCGCCGATGGCTGACAGACATCCCGATGTTGAGCCGGCATCGTGATCCCCCCCCCCCCAATACCGTGTTCGGAAAGAAAATAACGTGTAGGCAGAACCCCTAAAGGGAATAAATACGAGATGGAAGGAAAATATATATTTCAATAT